CGCTGCTCCAAGTGTTTCACTCAGTACTGCCTTCAGAGGTGAGGGTAATGACAGCTAGTCATTTTTGAGCACCTGCTCCATTCAAGGCTTTGTGATAGCCACTTCTAGGTACATTAACATATTGAATGCTCAGAGCCCTCCTGGATGTTAGGTATAATTCCCTGCTACCTTGGCATATCTCTAGGAAGTTCTGTGCTAGAATTTTATTGCTATGTACTATTTCCTGCCTCTGTAAACATATTTATAAAATTTAGCTCCAAAGAGTTATAGTTATTATCTAAAATCAAATCTACCCAAAATAAGAGCAATTTTCCTACTTGAGTATATAGAAAGTGCTATAGATTTAGAAAGTAATTCTAAAATAGAAAATCATAACGAATAATGGCAGCAGTATTGCCATTGCTCAGTTAACATAAATGTATTTCAATAATATTTTTAAAGAAAGTTCACAGAATAACTATTTTAAGGCAGTGTTTTGTTAAGATATTATTCTCATCACTGGATAGTCATACCTCTTCTACATATATGGCTATAGATATAAGATATGTATACCTTTAAACTTTGGTTGTTCAAAATCATTAGGGAAGGAATTACAGAGGACCATGTTTTCTGAATCTAGAACTATTTTATCAACCATTTTCAAAGCAAGTCTTATGTTGCCTACTTTTCTGTTTTGTAGAGATGATTATACTGGTGAGTTTATATATTCAGTCATTTGTTGCTTCATTTCATAAGCATTTTTGAGCATCTACTATCTGCTAGACACTGGGAATAGGAACTCAGCTGTGAACAGGTTATACAAAGCCCCTGCTTTCATAGAACTTTGATTCTTCTAGTAGAGAGAGACATACCATAAAAGCAAATAAATCATGACCAGGATCATTTCAGGGTATGGTAACATTATGGAAAAATTGGCATGATGTGCATTTGAGAGTAACCCTTGGGTGGGACAAAGGTGTACACTGCTGTAGGGTGTCCTTAGAAGGCTTTTGCTGGGAAAGGACTTTAATCTGAGGCCTGTGTAAGAAGAAAGAACCAGTCATCTAGAGAGCTTGGGGGAAGAGTTCTAGGCAGAGCAATCAACTAGTTCAAATGCCCTGAGCTGGAAGCAGGCATGATCAGATTCATACATGTCTCTGAGAACATCTGCTCTTACACTCCACTGTGACTGAGGGATACTACTTGGCCTGGAGGGGTACCCTTCGTGTCTTCAAAGTCTCAAGGACTTTTCCATCCTTATGGTTCAGTTTGCGTAATTTTTCTACATCCTTTTGGCTGTCAGCTCTCACTTAGTGCATCCATCAGTATGGCTTCCCAGCAGCCTCTCTCTAATTTGCAGCAGCCTGCAAATCTTCCCTGTGCCTAGATTCAAATGACAAGACTTGCTAGGAATATGTGTGAAATAAAAGTAAAAAGTCTTCATATCAAAGTTGGAAGTACTCTTCTCAATTAACATTCCTGATCTTTAGTTAAGAAATGTTAAAGAGAACGTAATGATGCAATCTCTCACAACTTTACCCTCTCCTGTATTCATTTATTTGTTAATTCATTCTCTGCACCGCCCCCCCCCACCGCCCCCATCTCACCCTTTTAAGTTGTTCTACTGTGGATGCATACCTAGAAATGCCCACACACATTTTATCATACTTTTAATGATTTGGGAAAGATAATCTTAAAGCCTATATTATCTACCATTTTTCTCTTAGCCCTTATTTAATTTTACATATATGACATTTTAAAGGATGTCACTGCAGTTGTTGTTTAACATTTATGGGAATGAAACTTTGTAGCACACTTAGACATGTGTGTTACTGCTAGAGGGTGCCTTGTTTGGTTGAAGGACAGTATCCCCTGGCTCTCTAAATATGAGGCTCTTAAAAGTGCATTTTATTTAGCTTCTTTTTGTTAGTGGCCAAACACTAGAGCTTAAAAAAAAGAAGTGTCACCTAGACTTAACTGACTATAGCTGTCAAATGGGATGCTTTTAATAACCTTTAAAAGTAAGTAGGTGAACGTTACACCCTATCAGTTCATAGGCAAGCTGGTAAACATTGAACAGAAATTCTGAGACTCTACCTGCTCCCCCCAACCAAAGGAAGTAGGTAGATGGTCTCAAAAAATGTTATGGCTGAAATCTTCTACACTCATTTGCTCATTCAGAGTTAACTCTAAAGCCCACTTATTAATTGCTGTTAGACCACAGCCATCCCTTTTTAGTCATTATTTCCCTAAAGATAACTGATAGGTTATTTTCTTCCAGAAGCAGATATTTGTTTCTTTCTCGAGAATAATTTAGAAATGTTAAGATCCAAGGGAAATTTGGACTTGCCTTCCATAACAGATTAGGTGGCATGTTTGATAAAGCATGGCTCTTCTCTTACTTAGTATGTGACACTTGGCAAGCTAACTAATTTCTCTAAGGCCCAAGGTTTTTCATCAGGGAAAAGAGTAATCATAAGTATAGAAAAAAAATAAATGACTGTTTTTGGATTTTTTTAGAAAGGTCATCACAAAAATAGTTTATCTGAGAATAAACCCATTGGATTCAGTCTTTTAAGTAAATGCTTATTTGCATCATTTTCTTTCCCTCCTAATCTTAGCAATTTAAATGTCTTGTAATTTTTTTTTAACTCAGGTTTATCTCAAAACTGATATGTAGTCACTACCTCCCCCATATGATGAGACTGTTTTTAGTTTCAGCTTATCATAGATATCATTAGAATGCAGAATTAGGTAGTGGTTAGAGGATAAGCTTCTGTTGTCAAAGACCTGGGTTCAAATTCCAGCTCAGCTACCCTGGACAAGTTAACCTTTCTAAGGCAAGCCTCTGTTTCCTCATCTATAAAATGGATATAATAGTAGTATTTATTTCACAGGACTTTTGTGAGAATTAAGTGAGATAATCTATGTAAACCTCTTAGCATGCTTTCTGGTTTATACCAAGCATTTGTTAAATGTTAGTTCTTCCCTCTGGTTTTTCCTTTATCATAGCTCTTTACAATACAGTTATTTAAATTTTTTTAAAAAGATGTGAGTGTATTTAAAGAAAAATATTGAACAGAAGTGCAGGTGGGCAATGGATGTGACAAAATTAGAATGTAGGTGGTGGATACGGTGGAAATAGTGTTAAACTTGCAGCCTGGAAACCTTGTTTTTTGTCTCAGCATCCCAGTAAAGAAAGTATATGCTTTGGGGTTTGGTACGTATAAGTGTAGAATGTGACATTAGCATTTTCTGACTCTGTGACGTTGGAAAAGCATTTCTCTCCATCCCTTTCTATGAATATTTATTGAAGGTCTGCTACATTTTCTTATCTGAAAAATGAAGATGATACTTAACAGCGTTTTTGTAAAGATGCAATGCAAAGAGATGAAATATTTGAAAGCATGTATATCATATAATTGGTTATGTTTTATAGATATAATCAACTTTATACCCAGTGTGTAGTAAGTGCTCAGTAAATGTTCTAGTGTTATTTAGGACTTGTGGTTACAAGTGACAGAATTCAAAGCTCAAGTGGCTTGGGACAGAAGGAATTAGTTGTCTCATGTACTGAGACTGTAGGAAAGTTAACAGTGACATATGCCTTGGGGACAGCTAGAAGCAAAAACTAGATGCCAGAGGACTGTCTTTACCTCTTTTCTTTGTTACTGTGTCTCTGTTAATGTCATTCTGTCTGGCCAGATTCTTCCTTACATCTAGAAACAGAACCACTGGCAGTCCTAAGCTGATGTGACCAGAAAGGGACTAAGCATTGTGGTCATTGTTTCAAGCCCGGAAATCCTAGGGATAACATAGAGCCCAGTATGAGTCGGGTACTCGCCTGACCAGCCATTGGTGTCTAGAGAACAAGAGGTGAAGGAAAATGGTAGGAAAGACCATTTTCGAGAAGGGGAATGGTGGGTGCCTGCTGCCATTGTTTACCCTTTCGGCATCTTCAGGGAAGTACTTAGCCTCTGTGGGCTTCAGTTTTCTGGTCTGAAGTTCTGAGGTTTAGAAGACTTAATGGATGCAAGTGTACGTTTAATGTTTTAAATTTTTATTTATTCAGCTTATTTCTGTTATTGCTCATGCCCTCCAAATCTTGACATATCATCTGGGAATTCCTAGCCTAACCACAGACCCTCGAAATAGCAGAAAGGGGCCTAAAATTATTTTAAGAAGTTAGTGCAATGTGCCAAGTATATTGACTATGCCCCCTTTTAAACTTGTAGTTGGAGAGTAATACATGTACAGAAAGGAGTACATATCCTAAGTGCACAGTTTGCTGAATTTTAACAAACTAAACACAGTTGTATATCTTGCACCTAGATTAAGAGTCAACAACAGACCCCTAGAAGACCCTGCTTGTACTACAAGTAGATTAATGTGTTGATTCATCATCTAAGAAATCCTTTAATAGCATTGCCAGAATCATGATGGCATTTTCCAAACTTTTTTAAATTAAAAGATTGCTAAAATTCAGCTGCCATAAGTCATAGTTATTATTTTTTTTAACACTAAAATTCCAAAACTTAAAAGCACTGTGAAAAGCTCTTCAGGTCATTCCTACTCATTATACCTCTTGAAATGTTTTTCTGGCTAAAATTACCATTAGGTGCTAAAATATGTCCTGTTGCTGGGGTATTGTGCCATTTAGGTCTATGCTTGCCTTTTCTCCTTACCAGATTGTAAACGCATGAGAGAATACAAGCCTTAAGATTTCTTAGGTGTCTTGTATTTCCTTTCTTGTGCATAGCTTAGCATGATAATTGACTGACTAAAATGCTGTCCATTCCACATAGAGCTTTGTGAAATGACTGTACTTCTGAAAAAATAACTACTCAAATCTCAGGGACTTCAAGTCTGAAATGTTTCGTTGTTAATAAATATGTCAGTTTGCTGTTGTTTTGATACTCAGGAAAACAAATGCAATTACAAATGAATTTTTCTTTTTCTTTTCTTTTTTTTTTTAATTTACCAAATCTTCTAACATCTTTTCCTCTTTTTTTCTCTTTTAGGCTCTAGACCAAGATAGAACAGCCCTTCAGAAAGTGAAGAAGTCTGTGAAAGCAATATATAATTCTGGTCAAGGTAAGCACTTACTAAAAATTGGATGACATGAATGATGTCTACAGAGTTTTCTTAGTTATTTAAAAGATGTTAAATTTATAGGAAACATGACACAAATGTAAAAATAAGTAGGTAAAGAAATTTCTCTTTTTCTCTTAACTTTGACTATCAGCCTAAACCTATTATTAGTCTTTCTAAAACAGAAAGAAGAAAAAACATTAGTCACAGTGGATTTTATTATACACTTAAGTGCTTAATAGAGTCATGAGTAATTTTATCACAAGTGACATGAGGTGTATAAAATCTCTGTGTGAATTTGGTCAACCTGTAACCCAGTGGCCTTAGTTAAACACATCGGAATCTTTCCCCCTCCTTAGTGTTACATGTACACGTTTGAAAATCAATATTGGTGACGGTTGTGGAAAAAATTAGAGAGGAGGGGACAAAATTAAATTCAGACCTCAACAGACCTGCCAGCTATCATCTTTTCTTTTGTTGGGAGGTGTGCCAGGTAACCTGTGTAACTAAATGTTTTAACTTTGTCTAGTGACTTTGTCAACTTGGAGGCAAAATTATGTCATTGGTGCATAAGAGGAATTAAATTTAAAAACAAAAAACAATGAGTAACCACAAAAATTGGTAGGCTCCAGCACTGTAGAGGCGAGGCTTGGAAACAAAATGGATTTCAGAGTCTCTCACTCACATCTTTTGTTTTTATTGCAGTACCAGCTCAACTACCAATATGTTACTGGTCTAAGAAATCAGTGGTCTGTAACTTAACAGAAAACGTGGGGGGAAAGACAGGAGGCTATAATAGAAAGAGCACAGGCCGTGAAGTTGGACAGATGTGGGTTTTCATTCTTGCTAATCCACTTGTTAGCAAGGTGACCTTGAACTGATTGTTTCACCTTCTTGAACCTCCATTTTTTCTTCCGTAAAATGGGGATAGTGGTATTTAAAAAGTTGTTGAAGGGATTTAATGAGCTCATCATATCTGTAAAGGGTCTTCCAGGTCACGGGAGTTCAGTAAATGCGTATTCCTCTTAATGTTATCATCATGAAATTATCAAGCTGAATGAAAAATGAACAAGGCAAAACCCTCAGGTACTTTATGGCCCTTCTGTCTCATCAGAGCTGGGAATCACTAGCCAAATAAAAACTGGAAACCTAATATTCTCTTGTTTTTTAACCCTCACCAGGCCTGAGACATTCTGTAATATTCATTGTTAACACATTTTGCACTCTGGTGCCTTCATTTTGCTCCCTAATTTCTTTATATCCAATAAAACACTAACTTCTCATTAAGGTAGATAACTAATAGTCATGTAGTCGTGACCAAATGTCTTTTTACGTCTTGGCCTAAGTTACATACCTAATTTATTACTTCTGCCCTTTGCTTTTATTTCACTGAACTCCCACACTTGTGTTAGGCTCTTATATTTTATTTTAGCTCTTCAGGGAATCAAGTGGAATAAATAACTAGGAGATGCCACAAAGCGGGCTTCTGAGGTGCTGATATTGTTGTTTCTTGATATTAGTGGTGGTTACATGGTTAAGTTTACTTTTTGATAATACATCAGATGCTAAACTTAGGATTTATGTACTTTTCTGTACATATGTATATTATGTACCAATAAAAATTTAAAGTATTATATACAAGGAGGTTCACTGAAGCCTTGATTGTGGTTTGGAAGAGGAGGAAAAAAAAAGGGATTTATTAAATAAACAATAGTATACATAGAATACTACACACCCTTTTAAAAAAGAGAAACTCAGGTAGTCTAGGTCTGAGTTTGAATCCTAGCTTTGTCATACTTGTTCCAGTATATTATTTAACTTCCAGGAGTCTTACACTTCCTCACCGTAAATTTAAAAAATAATATCAAATGTGCAGGGGATTGTATGGACAAAATGAGAGACCATCTAAGACCCCTAATACACTGCCTACCACATAGTACGTGCTTAACAAATTGTAGATGAGGGGAAAGGACAGCTAGATGAATATTTGTGTGCCTTCTCTATTTTAATTCAGTGATTCCACATATAACATTTGACCAGCCTTATTTTTTAAATAGCTTAATGAACCATTATTTGTCTCAGGAAGAATGGTCAGTTCTCTGTAATGTGATGTTGGTTTGTGCTTGAGGCTCTCAGCTTGTGAGCTGCAAAAGGGAGACCCTTGCTTTATAGCTGTGAGGCACTGCTGTATTTACTATACTGAACGCTCCCTCCATGTGACTCTTTTCCAAATGTTCTTCCTCAGAATGTATTTCATCCCTTGGCCACATCACTCAGCAGCTCACACGAAGACTCCTCTACTGGGGGATATGCTTCTTGCTGTTCTTTAAAGGATTTCCTTGATCACAGCTGCCCTTGGTATGACAGAAGGGAGAGGTTGTTCCTGTATGGATGTAAGGAGAGAGTTTCAAGGGCTGTATGCGGAATTTGGGTGCAGCCCCTTTCAGTAGACTGTACCCTCTTTGTGGATGGGGGTGGCACAGTTAACTGAACATTGAATCTCTCCAGTCTAGACTAGATTGTGTACCCTCCTCCTAGGTCTGTACTATTAGAGTAGCCTCTGATGACATATGGTTTTAAATTTTAAATTAATTAAAATAAAATTTATAATTCAGTTCCTCAGTTTTAGCTGCATTTCAAGAGCTTAACAGCCATATATGACTAGTGGGTGCCATATTGAATAGTACAGAAATAGAAACTTCTCCATTATCACAGGAAGTCCTTTTGGACAGTGATACTATAAGAGAACATGTATCCTGTTGTATTGCAAATACTAACCGTCTCTCTTGGAGGAGACTAATGATTCTTACCTTTGTTGATTAGGTTCACCTGAAGAACTCTTAAAAACAGGAATCCCTGAGACTCTTACCCTAGAATTATTCCAAAGTAGAACGCAGGTATTGGGATTAAAAAAATATTCCCCAGCTGATACTAACTTGCAGCTAGAATTAAGAACTATTGCACTGGCCTATGAGCTTTTTGATAAGACTAGTACTATGTTTTTCATCTTTTTAGTTTATGCATTTGTCAAAGTAATTCATTAGTTTGTTCAAAAAGGTATTTATTGAGCACCTATTATATTCACCTGTTCTGGGTGTTAGGTGCTTGGCACATCAAATTATTTGCCTTCATCAATTTTACAATCCAGTGGGGAAGAGATTAACAATCATCAAACTGGAAAGTATTTATAACTAGAAATTAGGAAGTGCTATAAAAGGAAGCTTACAAAGGGCAAAGGGTGAAATAGGAAAAAGGATCTGAGGTAGTGTGATTAGGGTGCTAAGGGAGTACCACTAGGAGAAAATGATACTCATTGTGTATTTATGCGATAGTAGACTAAGACAAACAAGCTGATAAGGTAGGTACCATTGTCCTCATTTTATAGATGATGAAACTGAAACTTAGAGAACCAGAATAACTTGTTCAAGGTACCATAACTAGCAAATGATGGAAAGAGAGCCCAGCTGACCCCCAGCTTTGCTCTTTTACGGCTACTCTATATTTGTCTTCTACCTAACATATAGCAGGGGCTCAACAAGGGTTGAATGAATCGCTGCATGTTGGCTGGATAGGTTACTACCTGGGAAGCTCTCTGAGATCAGCTATTAATATTCACTAATCATGAGTATTCATGAATGGATCCATCAAATGGAAACTCCCAGCATTGTAAACTGTGGGATGAATTTGGTGTTTCCCAGATGAGACCACAAATAGTAGTTACCATGGTCATGTTTCAGAAATATAGGGACAAACTCAGATCTCTCCAGGTTCCTCACAGAAGCCTGAAAGGGTTTCTGCAATCATGAGGAAGTATAGTACAGCTGAGTTTGTGGACAGCACTATGACATTTAACTCTTCAGAAATAACTAGATGAGTAAAACAGTGGTGTTGCATATCTTTCCATGATACATGCTCAGTGGAATCCAAGCTGTTCCCCTCCAAGGGCTTTTGGCCTCATCCAGAGAAACCGCAAAAGGCTGAACCCTGGTATCTGTTTCCCAGTGCATTTTCATAATTTTCTTGTTTTCTCACAGTGCTTAAGTGCTACAAAACCCACATGATATTTTTTAAACATTTCAAAAGCATTCCTATATTTCTGGTTGGAGATTACCAGTCACTCACCTTCTCAAAGTGATTTGAAAGATGGTTAAACATTGTGAAGGTTCTTGCCCTTAAAATGTATTATTTTTACACATAAGCTTTTATCAGTACTAGTAAGCAATATAAAAATGAGGGTTTTTTTTTTCTTTTTGTTCTTTTTTTTTTTTAAACAAATTGTCTCCATGCAAGCTCTTTAGTTTGAAGATTGTTCTGGGAATTTGTGTCTCACTTTTCCTTGTTGTGTATGAGGACATTTAAAAACAACAACAACAACAACAACAAAAAACTCATTTCTGTGAACTGCTTAGACCAATGGAAAATTCTCCAAGCCATTCAGTTTTCTTGTGTTGTTGCAAGTTTTGAAGTTTTGATGTTATTAATCTGTGAAACAGATTGTCGTTTAGGAAGTCTGCCTTAGTGGTCCCTCTCCCTTTCCCCTTTTCTCCCTCCTTCACTCTTTTGTTAATATGTGATTAAAATGGCTAATAGTTTCTTGGGCACTGTGGAGGTTTTAAAATATATTGTAATTCTTGGACAATTTTCTTTGCAAAGATAGAGCTTAATCCCCCTTCCCCTTGAATGTACACCAGAGTTACTGAGTTACTAACTCCCTTCTAATGAATAGAATGTAATAAAAGTGATGCCATGTGATTTCCAAGGCCAGTCCATAGACAAGATAGCTTCCACCTGGTCCTTCCATTTTTTTCTGGTCATTTTATTTGGAGGAAGGCAGTTACCATATTGAACATACTCAAGCAGTCCTATGGAGAGAGATCTCCCACTGAAAACTACCACTCACTTGCCAGCCATGCTAGTGAGACAGGGAAGCAAATCTACTAACCCCAGGCAAACTTTCAGATGACTGCACCCCTGGCTGGCATCTTGATCTTGATCTTTGTGAG